CAGAGCTTAAGCTCTTTCTTCGGAATCGTGAAGTCGATTTCCTCCTCCTACAGGAAACTAATCTCAAAGCTAAGGACACTAGAGGCCTTTCTATTAAAAACTTCTCTCTTCTTCGTAACGACAGACCCGACCGCCGAGGCGGCGGAACGGCCATCTATTACAAGAAGACACTTCATTGCTCGCCCATTTCTACTCCGCAGCTTACCAACATGGAAGCCACGGTATGCAGGCTAGCTATGACTGGACATCAGTCCATCCTCATAGCCTCCTGTTACATCCCTTCAGGAACCTATCCCCTCAAAAAAGATTTTGAGGCCATTTTATCTTTAGGCAATTCATTCTGAATGGACATGCCGCACTACGTCCCCTAGTGGCAAGATACTGCTCGATATCACGCAGTCTCTTGATATTACCGTCCATAGTCCTCTCGGTGTTACTCACTTTCCCGATAACACCGAACACGCCCCCCGATGTGTTAGATTTTGCGCTACTCCAAGGAGTTTCTCTTAATCTCAGAGCAATCGAGACACTAGACGATCTAGGATCAGATCACCGACCGGTCTCCCTCATTCTTGGCCATCAGCCACCTCCCCCAACACACACGAAAACCTTCACTAACTGGAAGGGATTCAAGGAGTCCCTAGCTAAAGCTTTGGACTCACAGGACTCTACCATCTCCCTACCGTCGGACTTAGATAGTCCCGAAAAAATCGACACCGCGGTCGATTCACTCTCCACCCTTATTAAATCCTCCCTTAAGGAGAACGAAAGGGTCGTCCCGGTTGCTAACAATAGTGGGCTTCCCCTACATATTAGCAACCTATTAAAAGCTAAAAAAGCTGCTTTCCGGAGAGCAGCAAAATATCCCACCCCCGAATATAGGCGCGCGGCCAATCGTCTTCAACGAGAACTCCGCTTCCGCCTCTCTGAATTTTGAGACCTCGAAAAGAGTAAGCTCATGGAGAATATCTCTCCATCTCACACAGCGTACTATCAGATGGCTAGAGCCCTTCGCATAGACGCTATCACCCACACTCCCCCTCTCTTCCGTCCCGACGGCACGGTTGCCATCGAGGACGAGGAAAAGGCTGAGTGCTTTGTAGATAGCATTGCCGCTCAATGCTCTCCTAGTTCTCAACCCGTCGACCCCTCTCACGTCCAGGCAGTGGAGGATGAGGTCCGCCGCCGGAACTCACCCCCTACGGCCTCCGAACCTATCTCTGTGTCCAATGATGAGATTTCATCCCTCATCAAAGGACTTAAGCCCAAAAAGGCTCCGGGCGCGGATGGCATCTCCAACCAAGCCCTAAAACACTTTCCTGAGCAGATGTTAACCTTTTTATCTATTATCTTCAACGCCTGCTTCAACCTCAGTTATTTCCCCACTACGTGGAAAGAGGCAACTGTGATTGGAATTCCCAAGCCAGGCAAGCCTCTCAACCTCCCCCTCCAGCCATCGCCCCATTAGCCTTCTCAAGGCAATGGGCAAGCCCTTCGAAAGAGTCATCCAAACGCATATGAGGCGCTATCTGTTTCCCACAGACGGCGACCCTCTTATCATTCCTCATCAATTCGGCTTCCGAGCCAAACACTCATGTCCCCAACAAGTTCACCGCATTGTGGAATATATCCTCAGCGGTTTCTACCCTCGTCGTTATAACACCATCGCGGTCTTTTTCGATATAGCTAAAGATTTCGATAGAGTCTGGCACACAGGCCTCATCTACAAGCTCTACAAAATAGGTCTCCCCGATCGTCTAGTTCGTCTCGTGGCCTTCTATTTAAAACATCGTACTTTTCGTTTTAGACACGAAGGTACGCTATCTTCACAGCGAACTATCAAGGCTGGTGTCCCTCAGGGCTCAGTACTTGCTCCTCTGCTGTACATCCTGTTCACCAACGACATTCCCATCCCGTCGAAAGGTGTTCAACTCTCCCTCTTCGCAGACGACACTGCCATCTACTGCAAAGGTGTCTCACTGCCCTTCATACGAAACAAGATCCAAAAGTCAGTTGATGACCTAGGAGCTTGGTTCAAAAAATGGCGCATCGATGTGAACCCGGAGAAGAGCTCCGCCGTTCACTTCGGATTATAAACGACGCCTTCTCAAAAACACTCCACCAATACGTATGCTAGGGACCCCTGTCCCTTGCCATACGTCCGCCAAATATTTAGGTGTCACTCTAGACACAGGGCTCACTTTCAGGCTCCACGTCAAAAGAGTAACCCGTCACGCACGGTTTTATCTGAGTAGGCTCAACAGTATGTTGGGCCGACACAGTAAAATGTCCCTTCGAAACAAGCGTACCCTTTACAAGGTCTGTATACGACCAGTCATGTCCTACGCGGGCCCCGTCTTTGCCCACGCAAACCCTAATATTTTAAATGAACTCCAAATAGTTCAGAACCTCTTCTGTCGTCGAGCTGCGAACGCACCTTGGTACGTCCGTAATGCCGACCTTCATCGGGACTTAGAGCTCCCAACAATTCAACAATTTTTTAAAAAACTCTCTGAGAACTTCTTCAAAGCCTCAGAGTCGCACCCAAACCATTTAATTCGTGAGGCAGCTTCTTATGCAGCCCCACCCCCCCTCTCGCTATCGTGTCCGCAGGCCGAGAAACTCTCTCTCGGACCCGCCTAATAAACTGTCAAACGACCTGAACTGTCTCCTGGCGGCTCAGGCCAACTCTAATTAAATTAAATTATTGCATTAACTAACATTAATTTGCCTTCGTAGGCACTCCCTCAGCGGCTCTTAGCCGCCTGCGCCCTCTTTTCCCAAAAGAGGGTCGCTCATGATAAGGCACAATACAGCTTAATCAGCCGGCTGCCTGTCCCCAAAGGCGGTTTTTAGAGGGTATCACTTAGGGTCCCCGGTAGGACAGTGAGCCCCTCATAACCACGATAGACCGGCTATCGTGGTATGCGTAATGCATTTTCCGCCTCCCTACGTATAGGGTAGCCCTTTAATTGCTTCGGGCGCGAAAAAAAAAACCCACAGTATAAGTAATGGCGCGCAAGCAGTGTAGTACCTAGATGTTTTTGTGCAGTAATAACAATTATTCTCTTACATTCTAAAACTAATGCGAAGATATGACACATATAAAACTTAGAGTGAATGTATCCGGTGTATCCTGAACGACAGATCATATGATTATCAAATACATTTAACACGGTGAGAGATAAGCATTATTAATTTAGTGAATAATATGCCAAGTATACAAATATAACAAAAATTCTATGATATGCGAAAGCAAAATTAAAAAAGGGCATATTGAATCTCATACAATCTGAACATATGAGATTCAATATGCAAAATGTTACTTGAAGCACAACAGCATAATGAGCAAAACAGAGATAAGAATAACCTTTTGAATAAGATAATAAGAAATTCTTGTCGTTTTTAATTATTATAGCCTTTTGTTAAGCGAACAATAGCGAGGTGCGCGTACACCACTAATGAATAGACGATACCATCTCTTCTCAAACTTTGCGTGTTCACAGAAAGTATAGTTGCCGACACGAGTCGTGAGCACAGATAATCTGTGGTGGGAGGTATGTACAATGTCGGGCAAAATTAGTTTACCTTTATTATTTCAATTCGTAATTGAATATTTTCGCAGACTTTTATGAAAATGTTTATTTGAACACATCAACTCGAACCCAACATTTTAATTATACGGCGAAGACTGTGCTCCGACCCTTGAAAGTTTATACCTTCCCGTAACTTTTGTCGTAGTTTTCCAATGATAGGCATTTCTTTATTGGTAAGATGGTAGTTATGAACGCATCTTTTAACAACCCCCTGGTCAAAGTTATCTAATTCTGTTACAGAATGCTTTCGTGGTCTTTTCTTGCCTGGCGTTCTAAATACGACCAGAAATTCTGAGTCGTCAACTCACACCGCACATAGAGCTACTAAAATCAGAACATATACCTACATATTTTATTTTTTATTTATTTTTAATAATTAATTACAATTATTTAATTATTTTTGTTTAAAGAAAACTAAATTAACTCAGGACATATTTAGTTCTATTGCGATGGATAGAAAATAACATCCACAATTTTCTAAATTTCTTTTTGATAACTCTATTCTTGTGAACATTAAAAAATACAATAAAAAATGACATGTTGTATAAATATATTGCCGCAGCGGCTAATTCTTCCATGTCCATCTCGAAAAACGTTTCAATCACAACTTAATGTCGCCATCGTGTAGATGCGTTTCAACCATCGCATGGCCATCTCGCTGGGCCAGCGTTGGCCCATCGTATAGAGGACCTATAAAACGTCGTCTGTATAGTTACATCCTGTATCCCTGGCGGTGCAATTCTTTTTCTAAATGTATATGGGACCACCTCCGAAGTATAACTTAAATAATAAAAAGAATCATTAAAATCGGTTCGCACTTGACAAAGATAGCGCGTAACATACATAAATACAAAAAGAAAGCAGTCGAATTTAGCATTACCTCTTTCTTTTCAAGTCACCTAAAAACAAACAAGAGTATTTGATTTGGAAAACTTCCACAAATTCCATGCCTACCTTGCATATTTTCCGCAGAGCTTTTATTTCAGCTTCAAATGTAACTTTTAGAAACGTTATCGTCTCACTGCAGCTCGCCCGTGATTTATATTTTGTGCTCTTTTTTGGGTTGATTTACTGCTACAAGCAGTAACATTTATTTATTACATGGCAGTACTAGATTCAGCGACGACGTTACCGTAACATAATTGTCAGTACAGGATAATTAAAAACTACATATCTTCATAGCTTGTAATGCGAAAAACAAATTAAAAAAGAAAACGAAGGTTATTAGTCTGTAGAAATGTAATTTTCACAGAAACACACATGAAATAAAATCAGTTCCTTTAATTGGCCTGTTTCTTGAAACTTTATAATAACTGGGCTATTTGTATTTGAATAACTTAAACATAGTAGTATTTATTAATAATAGCATCCAGACGGTACTCTGACCATAAATTTAGAAAAATTTTACAATATCTGCGATTACAAAAATATAACTACACCCTTCTTACATTACACAATAACAGATAAATAATTGAATTGAAATATACATGTTATACTCCCGTCATTCAAAAAATCATCAGAATGTTCATATAGGAACATGCCAACAAAATAATAAAATGCCAAATACTCTATTCTGATTCTGATTCCATTTATGTTTCTAGCATATAGCAAGAAATATAAACTGTTCAAACAAAGATTGGAACTGAAGATTATATTTAACAAGTGAAGGGTAATATTTGGATCTGAAACGACACAGTTATAAAAAAAAAACAGATGAGAAAAGGATTGTATAGTTAGTAGAAATTACACTTCCGTTAAATAATACAAGAAACTGTTTATACATTTTTTCTTCTATTATGTACTTTGCAATTAAATTAACTGTCATATGTCACTGTCAAATAGCTTTGTGTATAATTTACCTTGTTCTGGAATTTGAAGCTGTTAAAGTTCCTCAGTATAAATAAAGATATCTGAATAAACCAAATTTGAAATGTCACATTGTCCCAACAAGCTAAAATTTAAGCGGGATTTTATATTGATTCTATAGTTTACATTTACAACTTACTAACTAATTGCTACCATCAACAAGTCAGTTCAAAAATTTATCAATGCAGGAAATTTATCTTTGCCCACACTTCTAGTATAAATTTTACATGCTAACTTAATTTAAAACATTGTTGTTTCTTATTTCTTATTATAAATAAGGCTACTTTAGGCAAATTTTTAAGTAGTCACAGGGTATTTTCGTCATTTTCTAAATGGGAAAAGGAGACAGTGCATTCCTATATGTAGTAGATGATCTGAATGAGAACATTTAATGAATGATAATTAAGTCAGTTAAGTCCCTTTAAATTTTACTGTGCCATGGGTAGTAGATTTAATTTATAGTTCCAAGTCTTACATAATTTACTTTGATTTCTACTCTCGGAAATAAAATAAAAAAACTAAAACAGGTATTGTATTAGGAAACTATTAAATGATTTGCCTACATTTTACTGTAATGGAAATAATTGTTACAAGTTTCGAATCAATTCGTGAATACAATATAGTCGGTCTTACACAAATCATAAGGATTAAAACTTGTATGCAAATTATTTTGAGCCGGAAGCACTTCAAAATACACATACATATGCCACAGTCTAAGAAGAACATACATAGAGTCGGTTAGACGTTTGATGTTGTAGGAAAAGCCGACATCAACAATAAAACTTGCTAAGGTTTTTAACACAGCGGAAAGTAATAAAAAATGAAAAACTGTTTTTTATTACACATTTAAATAATTAAAAAACTAAATTTGACAATTGATGTTCAGAAATAAAATAAGGTTATATATAATAAGCAGTTATAAAATAAGTCTGTCGAATTCAATATAAAGAGTTTATAATGTTATTTTGAGTAATCCCAACTTATTTAACCCTATATTTTTTATTTCAATACATTGCTGAAATGTATGTAGAAGCTTTCAAGTTGCATATACACAAGTTAAATACACAAAGATTTAATACACACAAAATGACAAAATTATGTCAATAAGATAATCGTCAAAGTAAGTTAATTTTGCCGATTACTCCATTTTGCGGGAGAAGACGCCAAAGAAAATTTCAATATATTTTGACGGACCTTAGATTTTTCTGCTATCGTATTATTTTTAGGCCCTCTTTTTAGGGGTATTAAATATTTATTCGTTTTTAAGTTAACTCAACTGCCCCATTGGGATTACATCAATGCATATTTACAAATGTGCAACTGATACATATTTTCGATTTTATGAACGATTATATTTTAAATTCCTGTTATACCGCTGTTTTTACCGAACATGTAGTGTGAACCATTTTAATTTATTTAATGAATAATAAATAAAAATAATTTAATTTTAACCATTTTAATTTTTAATTTATTTGCAATGTGACAAGACAGCCCTGCGGACAGCTCCCGAACGACAAATGACCGTTCGGGCGCAGTCCGCCCGCGCCTCGTACCCCACGACCCCGTCTAAGCGCCTTCGATGTCTGACTGGTAGTAATTAGACTGTGCATATGCCATGACCGTTGCAATTTACAACATAATGAGACTCAAGTTGAATAAAGAATAAGGAGAGATGCTCATTTAAAAATATCTGAGAGCAAGTCTTTTTCCCTTGTCAAAATAACTAAAATGAACTATTTTTGGTGAACTTTAAAGAAGACGACTGCGCTTTTGTTATCCATAATAAAAAGTTACCACCAAATAATACACAATACTTATGTGTGGCGAAACATTGTTCTTCCCTTATCAATGGAATCTAAACACTTGAAGTTACCACTGAACTTGAAAGTGAATCGTCAAGCTTTTGCCTTTTTGTGTCCTGTTGATTGTCCACACAAGGTTCTTCTTCTGCAGTGCGCTTTTTCGAGACCTCGGTATTACTAGAATGCTGTCCAACGTCTGAAATCACGCCATCCTTAAACCGCACTATAATAGCAGTCATATTGTCGCAACCAGTTCCGTCGCCCATTGTTGTTGGTGCTAGGCAATGATCAAACATCTGCAGAATTAAAATTTTAAATTTAATACAGTTGTTAATTGAAAAACTATTATATATTATGTATTTATTTATGTAGATTACCTCTTCACAAATCTGTGATAACCTTTCGCGTCCTTCTGCCAGTCTTGGTAATATAAAGTCGCAGACATCTTGACTTGACATAAAATTCCATATTCCATCACATGCCAACACCATGAACTGGTCCTTAGATGGATCTATGGTCAGAGTTTTGACATCAGGCAGAGCTGTGACCATTTGTTCTTTAGCATCCAATTCTTTATTCTGTTTGTATGAATGATCTCCAATAGCACGAGATAAGTTCAAACCTCCATTAATACGGCCATCATATGAAACTTTCCCACCAGCTTTTGTAATTCTCTCATGTTCTGGCGCATCCTCTGGTTTATGATCTATTGACATATCTATAGCTTTACCTTCTCTACAAATAATACAGCGAGAATCTCCTGCATTAGCCACATATAGTTCATTTCCTGTGAATTAAAAAGAGATAAATTTATTCACTCAATTCATTATAGATTTTGCATAAAAAAACTTATACACTAATGCAAAAAGTAGTTTATGATTAATATCAGATTTAAAGCAAACGAATTAAAAAAAATTACAAAATTTGACAGCATAACACAGCTAAGTGAATTCTTTAGTGACAAAGCTTCTTCTTCAAATCTGGCATTATCATAAACTAGTGTTCGTAAAACTAATAAACAACATTCACTATGTTTCGTAAAGACCAAATTAGAATGTTTGACAGATTTCATAGCCAGGAAGAAATGTTCGAAATATGTAAAGGTTAATGTTTCTTTTTGTACTATTAGTTATATTTTATATCAATGAGATTAAAATAAATAAACCAAACCACAGATATTCATAAAAGTAGAAGAAGAAAAAAAAGAGTTAAAGTATGCAAAATATTAGGAGCAAACCACTGAGGCATTGTTTTATGAATGTAATACTCTAGAAAATTATAGACTTGTGCATTGGGGCATTGCGGCAGACATTTCCTTGCCCTTCAACCTTCCAAAAACGATGGAGGCCCGAACCCGACAGTGCAACATTTGCTTTTTTTATGAATAGGACTTAAACTCTTCATATGTAAAATATAGGTACAATAATAATATTGTTCAGAGATCATAAATCAATAACAAACTTATAGAAAAAAGGAATTACCTTTTAGTAGTGCAACAATTGCTGTGCACCCACTGTCATTTCCAGGTTCCTCAGTCATACTTATGTCTTCTTCACCATCCTCATCACTGGATTCTGCTTCATAGTCTTCCTCATCCTCATCTTCTTCTCCTTCCACTTCTAATTTACATTAATAATAGAATAAATATAATTTGTAATACTACATACCAAATATAATGTTCTAAGTATATACTTGTTGATTTTTAATACATTCAAATATTGCTTAAATATAAACTATACTTTAATACTACTATATAATAATATTATAAAGTAGTATTAACAGACTAAGAAGCAGAATCGCTGCAGATTTCGGGGCTGTTCTAAAGGATATAAATAAATGCTCCAAATGTGATATAAACTTATGTTTGACTATACAAGGAAACTGCTTAAATTTTTATACTAATTCTTAAAGGAAAATATTTTTTTTAAGATTATTTTAAAATTAGACAGGATATAAATTTTTTGTTAGGTAACTATTTATTTTTATAGTAACTTTAGTTCTTGTTTAATTGTTATAAAAGGTTGAAGTTATTTAAAATATTACAAAATAGACTTGCAAGTTGTCCTACAAAAGATATTATTTTCGAAGAGTAGTTTTTCCCTAAAGAAGTTAAAGTGTTTTGCTACTACTAAATGTAACAATGAAGTAAAACTAAAAGAATAATAAAAGGTGATTAAAAGTAATAAACTACTTTTATTTAATAATGTCTGCGAATACTGGCAGAAGACAAAGTCCCCCATGTATTTATTGTTATTATATGTGAGAAGATAAGGAAAAACTTCAGAAAAACTAAAGGATTTTTAAATTACTTTTTCCAGATACTTTCATATACACAAACATATAAAAATGTTGAATTTGTGGCACAACATTTTTCTCTAGACTCTAGACGTTATACCATTGTACTGATACACTCATAATGTTAGTGCCTTTATCCTTACCTTCATTAGACGAATCTTCAATCCCATTAACATTTTCTTCATCAGAAGACTCAACTTCGCCACCTTCGAAAGTTTCGTCATTGGAGTCGCTTTCATCATCATCCTCCTCTGCTGCTTGACGCAAAAGTGATTCATACACGGCTGCAGCCGCTCTACGAATTTTGGACTTTTTCGGCCTTTCTGGAGTTAATTTTTCTGAACTTGACACTGGTGAAGACTTATCTAAAATTAAAGTTAATAATTACAAAATAGGTATAAAAGAAGAAAATTAATGACATATTATTATAATGATTTCTTACATTTACGCGAACACTACATATTGATAAAACTAAATTTACGGATTCTATCGCGTTTAATTAATTACTTATACTTGTTTTTAATTCCAGACGTTTCGGGTGCTTTACAGTACCCATGGTCACGGGGTACTGAGATGTTTGACATCCCAATGTCATTGTTAGCCCAGCTACCTTCAGGTTTTGAATATTAATTTTTAGATTTGTCTGCATCAATTTTTTTGTTCTACTGTAGATATCCCTCTTTACTAATTTTATCATGCAGAGAAACACAAATATGTATAGCTAGCTAAAAACTACTCTTATACGTGGTAGAGCCATGCTGCAGTTATATTAGATGTATAGTTGTAGCACGAATGGGTCGGCTCGACCGGGGAAGGACCACGCTCTCACAGAATACCAGCGTGAAATAGTAGCTTAATGCAGCTGTATTTCGTATGGTGAGTGTAGAGAACCGGCGACCCATTTTACTGGAAACGAGGCATTCCATCTTAGTCCTCACGGGTGACAACACATCTGCATTTTGATTCGTAATCGAGGATAGATGTAGATGTCTATGGGCCACAGCAACCACTTACCATCAGGTGGACTGTGTGCTCGATTGTCACCCTAGCCTATAAATAAAAAAAAGCTTTTTTCTATTCCATTTCATTCTAGTGACTTTCCTCGAAATGCAGCAATGGTCATAAATTAATTTAATTTAAAATTAGGTTTTAGTTGCATAAATGGTCTTTGGCAACACACACTGGTTGTACTTGTCATTTTAACTACAAGTGTAGTGTTCCCAAAAACTATTACTTTAGCCATAGACTTAAGGACGTAAGTAACAATATTGACATACTCGAATTTGTGTATTCGAATTGCAAGGTGACTTACAAACGCACATAATGAAATAATTTTCCAGCTAAATTTTATATATTATACCTGCTGCAATAGTTTAGTTAAACTTCATAATTGCTCAGACCAACAAAAGAAGGAATGCTTCAAGTGAAGAAACCGAAACTATGCTCAAAGTTTTAGTTGCACTCAGGCACACCATCTTTCTTCTTTCATTCTTTATTAGCCCGTAAGAGTTTGAACACATGTGCATCTTAAACTGTGTTATTGGTTGCAAATGATTATAAATGCATACATATAAGTGAGTGCCTCTTCTTACTATAAGGTGGGCATAGTTTTCTTATCACTTGAAACGTAGGCAGCGCTCCGTTATTCTTTTTTTGTTGGTATGAGAATCTGAAGTTTTATTAATTTTACAAGTATTGAGTAAAGTTAGTCAGCAAGAAAATTTGGAATCGCGTTGGGTATCTAGCGTGATAATAATGAATATGATGAAAAAAAATATTTGTATATGACATTGGTACGCGGCAATGCACGCACGAGCTTGCGGCTGTATAACCATACATTTACCAATTGTAACATGTGTAAGTGAGGAATCATTTCTTATAAGTTTATTTAGTTTGCACTAAGGATTATTTAGGTAAAGGAACTCCAACTAACGAAATACAAGATAATGTATGGAATTGATAATTAAATATGCCTTAACATAATATGATGAAATTAGATTAAAACAAAACCAAATTAATAAAAAGCATACTATACCAAATTAAATAAAAATTAAACTAATCGGGTAAAAAATATGATAATGCATAATAATAAAATTTTACTGGGCAGTTTAATAAAAAATAAAACGAAATAAAAGTTATTCCTTTCAGTGAATATGTTTTTACTGGCACGTAAGCTATGGTCCTTTAGATTTATACAGCTCGCATATTGAGTATCAACTAGCTCTGAAAGTAAGCAATTATTGTAAAATTTTACCGAAGGTCCCTCCATGTTTTTCGTCCAGAACTGGTAGTCTCTTTCTATGAATTCGCATTTTATTTTACTGTCGCCTGCCCACATGGCAAATACATACGTTTTAACAAGTGATTGGCCTTGAACTTGGAACTACCGTCCGGACATTTTGTGTGGACTGTGACAACGTCAGATTTAAAATACCATAATTGACCCAGAAGTCAATTTTTTTGTTTGATTGCTTTTTGGGTTCTATATTATTATCGTATGATTTTTTTTAATAGGATAAGGGTGTCAAATAAGCACACAGTCCACCTGATGTTAAGTGGTTGCTGTGACCCATAGACATCTATCCTCCATTACAAATCAAAATGCAGATGTGTTTGTCACACATGAGGACTAAGATTGAATGCCTCATTTCTAGTAAAAAGGTTCTCCGGTTCTCTTAACTCACCATATGAGACATAGCAGCTTTAAGCTGCGCGTGCTGCATGGTCTTTTCCCGGTCGAGCCAACCCATTCGTGCTACAGCAGCTACACTACTAATATAGCTGCAGCATGTCTCTACCATGTGAAATTTTCACTTCACTTCTACAAAACCAGGTACATAAATAATATTATTTTAGATTACTCAGAAGTTTTACCTAAATTAAAAAACAAATGTTATGAAATGTGGAAGGAATACTTTAACAAACAGTCACTAGAAAAAGGAATATGGTACAAAACTATACAGTGTCAGCCTCTTCATGTGCCCTGGTTCACTAATACTAGTTTAAGTAGGAAATTAGTTACTACTGCTCATAGACTCAAATCTGGATAGGTTCCGTGTAAGAAAGGAGATGGCCAAAAATTGTAGGAACCTGTGCCCCAGACTGTACAGAAATGAAATCATGTCATTTAAAAGTACAGATCTTCTATAGAAAGAATTAGAAAAGTGCATTAGCTATGCAGTAGTGGACAAAAGTTATGAAGATTTAAAAAATATGATTTTGCCAAGTCTTTATCACTTATTACACAATGTAGATATTAATAAAGTTTCAATTCATGAGTGTTATGTAGGTTGATGTATATGCATTATGGTTAGGATGTATCCTTACTGGTTTTGCTAAAAAAAAAAAAAACAACAGGACAGCAGTTTTTTCAATACCGTAAAAAGGGGTGAATAGGGATGCAGGGGTGAATAGGGACAAACTCAAGATTTTTTCTACTCACTGATACTTCTACATACAGCCGGATTATCAAATGACAGATGTTTTTTTTTTAATTGAGAACTGTTTCTTGTTTATTCTGGCAACATCTAGTATCTAAAATGTCAAATAAGACAGAAAAACGTTATTTAAATTGAACACTATTGAAGTGCCAAAATATTGTTCCGTAAACATTTCAATTTTAAAATAATAAATACCAATTTCGAGTGACGCTGATTGATTAATTTTATCGTGATATTATTCAAGGACCTAATATACTATAAAGGTAAGTTCAACAACTACATATTTTCGATTCAAATGGTAATTTTTAAAGGTTCTGCATTAATTGATAATCTTGGGGTGACAAGGGACGTGTGAGGGGAGAATAGAGACAGTTAAAGGGGTGATTCGGGACGGAAAAGGGGTCATTTGGAACGAATTAGAGGTGATTCAGGACGAGTGAGGGGTGAATAGGGCTTACTTAATAGGGTTGTCAAAATTATTTTGGTCTCTTATTCAGTTGTTTAAGAAAAAAATATTTATATGTTGTCATAGAAATCATAAGAAAAGTATTTTATTGCATACAAATATTCGAACCTAAGACGATGTCAATATTAAAAAGGTCAATCTTTCTTTACGAAATAGCAATAGAAAGTCACAGATATGTAAATAACTAATACTGAAGTTAAATAAGCAATAATTAACGGTTAAAGGTAATGTTTATTTTATTTAGACAGTAAATCTACATGCTCCATATATCATGATCTAATGAAATGACGAAGTTTAAAGATATTTTGTGTACATTATATTTATACAAATAATTTTCATTGTTTACAGAACGATATCATGCCTCGCATTTATAAACCTAAACCAGGGTGTAAGCAGTACAAAAAGTATGATGAGGAAATAATTAAAAAAGCTCTTGAAGAATTGAATTATAATCATGTGAAATCAAAATCTGTGGCCGACAAGTATGGTATATCAAAATCAACTCTTCATCGCCATCATACCAATAAAAATATAAAATGCCCTGGTGGCCAAACAGCGCTTACACCAGATATAGAAGATCTATTGGTAGAAAACTTAAATACGTGTGCAGAGTGGGGATATCCCCTAGATACAACTGACTTAAGATACTTAGTCAAAATGTATCTAGACACACAAGGGATAGTACACAAAAAGTTTAAAAATAATTTACCAGGAATAGACTACACAAACGGTTTTCTAAAATGGCACAAAAATAAAATTTCAAAGAGACTATGCCAAAACATAAAAAGATCTAGGGCTGCAGTTTCACCAGAATCTATACAGACATACTTCTGTGAGTTGAAAAAATCCTTAGAAAATGTTCCAGCTACAAATATTATAAATTATGACGAGACGAATCTCTCTGACGATCCTGGCCGAAAAAAAGTAATTGTAAAACGAGGTTGTAAATACCCGGAAAGGGTAGTAAACCATTCAAAAGGCTCAACATCTTTGATGATGGCATGTACAGGCTCAGGAGAACTATTGCCACCGTACATTGTTTATAAGGCTTCACACCTTTATAACACATGGGTTGAGAATGGCCCTGAGGGTGCAAGGTACAATCGGTCTAAATCCGGATGGTTTGACGGTGACATTTTCAAAGACTGGATCGAAACCACAGTCGTATCTTTTTTTGAAAACAAAGAAGGAAAAAAGATCCTGATCGGAGACAACTTGTCTTCGCATCTTTCCGTGGATCTGATTAAATTCTGTAAAGAAAGGAACATACATTTTGTCTTTTTACCGGCGAATTCTACGCATATAACCCAGCCGTTAGACTTAGCCTTTTTTTAGGCCGATGAAATTAGCCTGGCGACAACTACTAGACAAGTGGAAGAACACTGACGGCAGAATGTTAACATCAGTGCCTAAAGGTTGTTTCCCGCGTCTGTTAAAATTATTGATAGACCAATTAAAACCCAATTCGGAAAAAAACATCAAAGCTGGCTTCCGTAAAGCAGGAATCATTCCATTAAATGCGAATGAAGTCTTGTCAAGATTACCTACACTAAATCAAGAAGCAGATACAAATAAAAATGCGGTAGATGAATCTTTCCTGAAAATTTTAAAAGAAATGTGTTTCAGTACAATGAAAATTAGGGAACCAAAATGTAAGAAAAAGTTAGAGGTAGTTTCAGGACGAAGTGTTTGTGGAAATGATGTAGAAATGATACTTGAAGAAGAAATACCAAAAATTTGGAAATTAGATGGTTATAAAGGAAAAGGAAAAGGAAAAACGAGTAAAACACAAACACAATCTCAAGAAGTTACCAACAGGAATGTGCCTGACGAACCTAACGTTAGAAAAGAGCACTAAAGAGCAACAAAAACCTTTAATTTGTTATGTCTAAAAACAAATCAGCAAGTAGACGATGAGAGATGGGATGGGAAAGAAAATGTTATGCCAATATTACCGGAAGCTGGACCATCAAGAGATGTCATTGGCCAATATGTAAAAAATACGGATGAGAGTGATAAATCTGTTGTATTCCAAAACATTCTTAGAGAAAAAGACTCAGGGTCATTTAACGTAGAAGATATGCCTATTGTTTTTGCTGACTCATTAGATTTACAATATCAAGACGAAGTGACTATCTCAAGCTCAGAATTTTTAAAGCAAGAAGAGATAAAGAAGGATACTAAAAAGAAAAAAAGAAATAAAAATCATATCAGATATTAAATTACCATTGCCACCCCCTAAGAAGAAAAAAAGATGTCTAACAAATTATTATAAAAATGAAAGTGAAATTTTGAAAATTTTAGAAGATGACGAATAATGTAATATGGTTTTTGTTTCAGGCTTCTTGAATCGTAAAACATAATTCGCCTACGATTTATATTATTAAGTCCTACTACGAGGTTTTATTTTATCAATGTTGAGTTATTACTTATTACGAAAATGTTTTGTTTTGTCGAAATTAATATTTTTATTATGTTTTTTTTTTCTTCAATTTTATTTAGTTGATAAAAGAAGAAAAGTAGTTGATAATAGTCTATTGTATAAGAAAATAACGTGATATTAACATACTTTTGAAAAAAAAATCTGCTATTTTGTTTGCTGACTGTATTACTGATCTCATTAAATAAATACTTTCTACACTGTTATATTTGTTTTATTTAACATTGTTAAGTGGAATTGAAAACCTCATTTTATCATGTTGGGTAAAAATCTGTGGCAGCCCTAACTGAATTCCCGATTCACCCCTCTTTCGTCCCTTTTCACCCCAACCACGGGGTGAGTCGGGATCGGCCATATTTTTCTCTTATTCTCGTAAAACCTACATTTTTATGCGGGAAAAGTTCTAAATAATAAAAGTTTCAGCCACCGGAAGGAATATTTAGGTAGTATTCAATAACAAACACAATGATAACAAATTAGAAATCTGCCCTAAACCTTGAAATCGTCCCTATTCACCCCGTTTTACGGTATTTGAAATTATTATTTGTAATCGCAGTATATTAGACAGAAAATAATTAAACTTATGTATTACACCGTTTATATAGTGGAGCACTCGGGTGGGGTTACGGCACTTATTAAATAAAAGTAAAATATGATAAAACACAAATAGGAAGGTAAAGTATATATATATATATATATATATATATATATATATGCTTTTCCTTCACATATGATATAATATGATATAATAACTTGTCTATAACACTATTCAACGCATGCAGGGATAGATTTCGTAGTATAATTATACTATTTGTACCATTATTTCATAGTGTGTAGTCTATGTAGTATCGTAATGCCACTTTATTATGCAAAAATATCATAATATTATCTTTAGACCCAACCCCACAAACAGCTTCCATCAGTATGTCATTGATATTATCTACAATGAGGCAATTTCCATTTGGTTATTTGGTTTTGGTTTTGGACTTAACACCCTTACATTAATACATAAAATTAATAGTGAATTGTTTTTGTTTTGGAATACCTTTTGCTTTTCCAGACTGTACAGGTGTCACTGAACCATTTGATGAAGTTATGTTACTGTCCTCTCCATCAATTTGCTTAGAATCTGTAACTTCTCCATTACAAGTTTCAGTAGCAACGCCATTACCAGCATTTGTAGTACTTTTGACATCTTCACTTTGTTCTGGTAGGCGACAATTATCTCCTGAACTGTCTGGTGCTGTTAAGTTGGATTTGTCAACATCCATTTTGACATTTTCTTTAACTGTTTTATCTGGCTCACTGGTTGAAACCTAAAACATAAATATATACTGTTAAATGAGTAATGACTTCACATATTTTTAAATGTGTTTGAATAAGACTTTAAATGTAACAAAAATTATTAAACTCTTGGAAATCTGGGCCAACATATTGGTTCATAATAGAACAAGAGAGTTGGAATAAAGCTCCTTAGAAATGTTACAAGTATATTTATTATATTTATTTTTTATTATAATTACAATAGTTTCAACTGCATGCCCGTTAATATTTCATAGTAACAACTTTCGAACTCATAGTAACAAACATGCAAGTAATATTTGAATTGAACTCAAAGTACAAACTATTTACAATTATATAAAGTAATTATCTATGGTTTGTATACTTATAGATTGAATATTATGTACTATACAGTTATAGTACTTTTAAAGTTTATATGAGCTGTCTGCAGCACAGATATATATATATATATATAATATATATAGATGGGTTAAGTCTTAACAGCGTGGAGTGACTGCATAAGAGAACCCATTAGCGAGCAAATAAGAGAATTCATAAAGAATCAAGATAAGCTGGCACCTTTTCGCGATACATGCTTGTGTTTCGGAGGTGTTGAATCTCAGGAGATTGTTACAACTATAATTTAACTGCAGTGTGGCTCTAACGCTGCAGTTAAATTATAGTTGTAGCACGAATGGGTCGGCAATTCAGAATAAATATGAATGTCTATGGGTCATAGCATCCACTAACCATCAGGTGGACAGTGCTCGTTTGTCACCCAATGCTAAAAAAAAGATTATTCATATGGTTCTATTCGGAGGACGCCTTAGCTTCTCTTTAGACTGAATTTGATCCCGATTGGTCTGAGCATTCAGTTAATATCTCTCCTTTACCTTTGCTATTATCTGTGTACCCATAGATACCAGTCATAAGTTGGTCATTGAAATGCAGCAGGAATCGAGTTGCGGAGCAACTCCTGGCGAACTAGGGCATTAGTTGTCCAAACAACTCAAAAAGACCGTTCACTTAATATGTCCTTCACCAATAAATGAACGGCGGGTCCAGTACCAAATTCACGAAAAATGTGTCTCGAGTCAACCTATATGTAACGTAATTAACGCACACCCTCAGACACCTCAATTAGTATATTATGTTATAATCATAATACATACACTGAATTTTTAGTTAAACATTTTTATGCACTGATTATTTATCAAATTAGTTATTCTAATTCCGGAAGAATGTTGTGGTCACAGTTACAAATCCACAAATGCAAAGACTTTAACATACTTGAAATAAAGTTCATTTTTCTTTATTTTTTATTGAATGACAGAATTTGTAATAATACAAATAAAACTGTACTCTTAAGTCTTATTGCCTTAAGTCACGGTCCATTTCAGTTTGTTTTGACTGTACACATTTAGTGTGACTAATTTACGTAGTTTTAATTATTTTTGGGATAAAAAATTATCTATATTAAAAATGATAGGAATCGATTCAGTAAACGATTCTGAACAAACTACTTTCTCAAAGTGCGTTAATTATGTTACGTGTTGTATACGCGTACATAGTTATAACATCCTAATCCAAACAATTTGAACAGTTTTATAATGACAATTTCGTTGGAAAACTACTCAATTTTACTTGCTAGATTTTATCAGTCTATTTAGTCTAAAACTAGAGTTCGCACTATTTTCAACCTATGAGGCTACTAGCGAAAATTACGCTAAATTGTTTTTACTATTAATATTTAAATGAAATATTACGTATCTAATTACTATTAAATTATCAAATACTAATAATTCTTATCGAAAATATGATACGCCTTCCTAGACTCTTATGATTCCTTGACTTTTTATGATTTCTTAAATTGGATGGATTGGGACACGAGAGGTTAAATAGTTAAAAAAATGGAACTTACGTTCCATTTGTTTTTAAATACGCCATAAAAATACAGTTATCAGTTTAGTCATTGAAATGTAATATTTTAATTTTTTATTTATTATGTTGGTCCTAAGCCTATTTAAATTATGAAGGGAAAATTTGAATTATAATTCACATCGCGAAGTTATCAACTAATCAGCGAGCATGTCATTAAGGAAGTAAAACACACGAGCGCATGTACATTGTAGTTGATACCCGTAAATCATGTTCAATTTAGGATATTTTCAAATAAATTTAGAAACCTTATTTACAAATATTTTTAAAAACTGCAAAAAGTGTATATTAGCATTTATGTTTTGAACTTAATTATTAAATTTGGCTAGTCCTTGAAAAATAACCATGTATATCATACAGGTATGAAAAGATTTTATTCACCTCGCCATTTAAGTCTTTGTCTTCATTTGAATTTGTAGAAGACACTCCTCCAGTATCCTCTTCAGTTTTTACTTCTTTATTGTCTGATGCAGATAAGCCATTTTTGCTAGAAGATTCAGCATCACATACTTGCTCAGAGCTTGAACCTGCTGCAAGTGTCACTCCTGAACTGGATGCTGCTAATGGAAAATAACTTTAAGCTTTTAAAACTATACATTGAAAATAAATTTTTAGTTTTTATTAGGACAGTAAGTTACCTGATGATGCACCAGTTTCATCTGTGTTCTTTTTAGCTCTCAAACAAGGCGACAAAGGAGTTGCTGTGTCACCAAGTCTTGCTCGATGAAGTGTGCTTAATTTATTTTCATATTTAGCTAATACCTCCTGGACAGAGAAAAAATTTTTAAACTTAATTGTTTACGGTTGAATGTTTATTAGTTTTAATGCAGAGTAGTTTTTAATGAGGGATTTTAGAGTGGTAGTGAATTAAAATAGCATGTTGATATTTGACAAAGAAAATTTTTATATCCACTCGAATGTCGTGGTCATTTTGGCCAATATGGCGCATCTGTCGAGCACCTTCCGAAGTATTAAGTAAGTATATAACAAGTATACTAAGTATATACAGTAAACCTTCGTTAATGCGAACACGGTTAACAAGAATTTTGGTTTAAGGCGAACAAAAATTTGCTCTAGACAATAGTTCCATAAGCTTCAATGTACTTATGTTCGGTTAAGACGAATCCTCGTTAATCCGAACTTCGAACAACTTTTTCGTCCCTTCACGGATAATTATCGGATAATACGAACTATAAAAATTCCCAAATCATGTATTTTGTATATTTTTGTCCTTTTTCGGTCAATACAAATACCGGTAAACAAATGCTGAAGAGATTAGAAAAGTCATTAACTCGAGTTTCTAAAAATAGACAAATGATTAGTATATCAAACATTCACTCGAGTACCCTAAAAATAGAAACAATACCTCAAATTTTCTTTCCGTCTTACATAAGCTATTGAAAAGGTTGTAAACTTTTGAAAACTAATTAACAAAAGCAAAGGCTTCTTAACAATTTGGCTTTTAAAAATTATTGTAAATATAAAATAATAGAATCAAAGTAAGTGGCTGGAGAGGAAGTAGTGGCAGGCCTGCTGCACACCTTGTTTAATTTATGCTGGGAACTGAAGCGGGTACTGGTAGACTGGTGCAAAGCCATGATAGTCCCAGTATATAAAGGAAGAGGGTCGCAGCAGGACTGTAAAAACTACCGTGGCATCAGCCTTCTTAGCATTGTGGGAAAACTGTATGCTAAGGTACTGTTTGAAAGGGTCATGAAAGAAACTGATGGAAAAATTTGGGATGTGCAAGCGGGATTTAGAAATGGAATGGGATGTACAGATCAAGTCTTTTCCATGTGCATGATCGCGGAGAAGTTTCTAGCCAAAAACCAAAAGGTTTTTATTAATAAAAATGTTTCTATGATGAACCATAATATTGAGTTTAGAAACACGATTTAATTTTTTGCATTGTTCGGATTACACGAACTCCCCTGTAACATGAACTATTTGTCTGTTTTTTCGAGTTCGTGTTAATGAGGGTTTACTGTAATATATATACTAAGTAAGTATATTAAAATCATATATCAATGGAAACGTTATTAAATAAGCTATCAGATTATGCATAACAGATATATATGTTATATATATCATATATATTTTACAAATAGTTTGCTATCACTCGACGCCATATTATGGCGTTTGACAGATGCGCATATTATTTGAGACGCCAGAATATGGCATTTGAACAGACGAGGGGATAACATTATATTCAACATAAGAACATCGAAAAATAAAAAAAATCATTTTATAAATCATATTCATGCTATATCTTTTAATATAATATGTTATTTGAAATATTAAATTATAAGCGTGACAACGACTTTAGATTGGTTCATGTAATCATAAATTTAAATCAATTCACTATATATTGTCTTTGATATCCTGAAACAGACGAAAGAGAGAAAATTGGTAAGTGTCAAAACTTGAAAAGACTATCATCAAATGAGTAATGTTAAAGAATATTTTTCACAAGTTCTACTTCATTTTTGTTCATTTATTCTACAGCTGAAACAATACTTTGTTAAAAATATGCATATTATGCAATATGTAAGTTTTCAAACTGTGACATTGAAACATAATTGATAAGGGGTGACTATATTATCCAATCTATATTTATATTAGGACCTTACAAATCAAAATTTAACAAATTGATAATAACAATTTAACATAAATGTCCAATTGATTGATTGATTATTTGCATTGATGTAACTACACTCACCGGCACGGAAACTTGGCCACTCGTGAATTTGCTGATTATTTGCACTGAAACATTTTTTTAACAGTAAATTAAGGGTAGATGCATTCAATAAGTGTCTCTAATGGTTTTAGAACATAGAAATTTAATGTTTACTTCACCGAAATTTTTCTTTTCAAGATAACATGTTTTCACTAAAATTAACATCTTTCCATTGTCACTTTAAAAACACTACAAAGTTAAAAATTAAGTCTGTTTCTTTATTGTCTATCAGTTTTAATATCGGGTGTTTCCTCCTCTAGCCCTGATAACCGCTTGCATTCGATCTGGCATGCTTTGAATGATGTTTCTGACATCAACTTGCGGTATGCTGTCCCAAGCGGCCAGCGCTGCATTTCGGAGCTCATTTAGAGTTTGTGGCGGTTTGGAGCTGGACTTTATCTTTCTTTTGAGCATACCCCATACATGCTCAATTGGATTTAAGTCCGGGCTACGAGCTGGCCACTGTAATTTTTGTATTCCAACCTCTTCCAGATATTCCTCTACACAATGTGCGACGTGCGGGCGTGCATTATCGTGCATGAGGAGGAATTGGTCGTGTCCAATGAATCCCGAATAAGGCATTACGTGCTCCTGAAGAACTTCCTCGATGTATTGAGTAGCTGTAAGCCGATTATCGACGATGACCAACTCTGTACGTGCGTCGGAACTTACACCTCCCCATACCATTATTGAGCCTCCATGGAAACTCACAGTTTGGGTGGTGGTAATGGGTAGAAACCTCTCTCCTCTTTTTCTCCACACTCGTTCTCGACCGTCTGGAGCACGTAAAGCTATTCGACACTCATCTGTGAACAACACTCTAGCCCATTGCTCGTGGGTCCAATTGACATGTTCTCTTGCGAACTGAAGTCGGGCTACTCGGTGCTGTCTGAGAAGTTCTGGACCTCATGCTGGTCTACGAGCTTTTAAATTCACTTCCTCCATTCGTCTTCTCACCGTACGCTCACTAACATTAACGCCTCTTGCGATTTGGAGCCGCTGGCGTATCTCAACAGCGGTCAGGTAGCGGTTTCTCAAAATCTCCATAACAATAAAACGATCGTCCCGGGCCGATGTGCACCTTACGCCCCCACTGCCTGGCCTGCGGGTGTAGCGGCCTGTCTCCTGGTATCGTTTCAGTGAATACTGCATTGAGGACCGTGGTACGTTAAGCACAATAGCAACTTCACGCTGTGTCAGCCCTTGGTCAATTAATGCTACTGCTTGTGCAACTTGTGCTGGTGTTAATGGCATTTTTATTGGCTTTAAAGCACCTTTAGTTATTTAATTAAGACACAAGATCACAATAATTGAATAACCTTACAGTAAACTTTTCACAACACACAAATTTAAAATGTGAACTTAGTCGCTCAAATGACCCGATTCAACTTAAAAATTAAAGAATTCGTCATGGTGCACTTAAACATAATGAATTACCCTCTTGAACTTGAGGGTAAACATTTTTTGACATACTTGCATAACAAACATTCATCAGAAACACTTAAAGCTTTTGCTATCGCGAGATAACCGCTTGGCCAAGTTTCTGTGCCGGTGAGTGTATTTATAAAAATTAAAAAAACATAATTATAAGAGACAACATGAACAATAGCATTGATAATACAGTGGAATCTCCGTAACTTGAACCTCATTATGTTGTAATCCTTGGTAAGATGAAAAAAATTTACATACGCCTCTTCTACCCCTAAATATGCAATTTATCTAATTATTTAATCTTAGTATCTTGAACAAAATGTTATTTCTCAGCAAGATATTGCTAGTACAAATTTATACTTAATAACTCGAACTTCAAAAAGCAGACTCCGTAAGTAGAAGTTAGTAAAATGTAATCTTACTTGGGATTCCCCAAACTCATAACAAAAAAGTCCAAAGGAATGTTTGCTTCTGTTCTATTATGTGTATGCTGTACACATGCAATGAATGCAATGCACACATGCAATTGAACTTTCTAAGTAAGAAATCTGCGTAGCTTATGCTTAGGAATAAATCTCAAAATTCTTGTTAAATCGAAAACACAAGTCGATATTTTTTGCATTTCTTTAAAATTCAAGTTTTCAAAATTCAATTGAAATATAAAGTAAATAATATAAAATTGTAGTCCATCAAAAATACCTCCCACAGCCGAGTAGAGACCGCTTTTCATTTCTAAGAGGGTTATATTGCAGATTTTACATATGTCAGAAATATATAAAATTTGCATTATATTTCCACACAATTTTTTTCTTTTAGACCAAGTGAAAACATTTTTAGATGATGTTTTATGACAAGTCACTTGGCACTTAAAAATTACAGACTTAATCCAAAAATTAGAAGGAATAAAATAATTTTATAATTATTTTCAGCAAAATAGTACCTTAAGTACCAACATAAAAGAACCCTCTGTTTCACCATTACATATTTAAAGTAAGATATAAGAATATGCAATAATGTTACAGGAAATATTAAACAACATGAAACATCCAGAACTAAAAATAAATAATTTGCATATTTGCAGATATTTGATTCTACTAGGATTTAAATGCATAGTTATTTATTATTATATTTTACAAATGTTGACCTAAGGCAAATGTAATGAAATTGTCATTTATATTTAAATACAGACAAGTTTATTATAAATTGTAAAAATAACTTGAATGGGCATCATTTGCATTAAATGAATAACTCAACTTTAATACAAATGATTTAAGCAATAAAATTAAAAAATAACAATTTTTTTAAACGAATTTAAAAATTTTGAAATATAGATAAAGGTGTAAAGATTTGACAGCTCCATGGCACAGTGGATTAGCTTGAGTTAAAGCACTAAGGGTTGCAGGTTCAAATCCCACATGGAGCAAGTATTTATATAGCCTACAAATAATTGTTCCAGTCCGGATGTTTGTCTTTGTGCAATTTGTTTGTAAACTGCCTTTACAATGGGAGAAAAATCTACTGTGAAGATAACATTTTTTTAAATAGAAAGAAAGAATATAGATGTTAGGCTTTTATCATTCTGTTTCATAATTAGAAACATGGTAGTAAAATTCACCTGTAAAGGTAGGTGTGCTTCTTGATACAAATTACTAACATTTTCATCTTCAGACTCTTCATTATCACTTGGACCCGGAGGATTTATTTCACCTAATAAACAACCAATTATTTAAAAAAGTTTACTTTATAAAACAAATTTTAATGAATGAAATATGAAGGAATTAGTTACAAAATTTTGTGCTAGATACATTTTTACAAAAATAAGAAAGATAAAAATGTAAGAGTCAATTTTAATGTTTAAAAAAAAGAATGTAGTAATCATAACTGTACCTGCCAGTTCTTTCAGAATGTCCATAACTTCTTTAGTTGCTATTGTGGCATCAAACCCCAAAAAGGCTTCTGTTAAAGCATTTACAAGATCACCTCTTTTATATGCTTCTGACTTTTTAATATAATCTGGCAAATTTTGGGAACAATACGTAGCCACCTCTGCTCCTCCATGCCCATCATATACGGCAAAAAAAGATGTATTGACATCATAGTCCAAGATTGTATTGTGTGAATCCTAGAAATATGCAATATTAAAAATATAATATTGAACATCTTTCAATAGATAACTCATTGGATCCCAAATATTCATGAACTGCATGAAACTGAATGTAAAAACAAATTGTAAAGCTGTTATGGATGTATCTAATAAAAGGCCTAGGTATTTATGTAAAATAAAAAGCAAATAAATGAAATAAGTGCGGGTTATCGACAGATAAAACAGTTTAATTAACAAACAATACCGTACCTCTTGGTTGACACGCCATCCCTGCATGGAGCTTGCACCGCACTCCAGTTTGTCATTTGTTTCATCGCTGGATATTTTTTCGGTAACAGGTTCTGATAGATAGGCACCCATTTTTATAAGTTACTGATGTGCACATGAAATATGACCAAAAAATAACTGACGCGCGAATTTCCTAAAAAATCGCGCAGGCGGCAAGCAAGCCGTCGAACCATAGATTAAAACTAAGCATAGAGCTTTTGCTTTGCTCGTACGATTCGTTATTTTTCGGCAATTAAAGCATGCAAAGGTCTTACACCTTACAGGCCAGTCTGCTGTGCATATTATTTACAAACTTTTTCACAATATGCAGACAAATCGCATTTTAAAACTATTGAGTGCTTTTGACGACAGCTCAAGCTCAAGCTACCCGAGTTAATTATATACTTAACCGAGTTAATTATATACGATAATTTACTTGAAAGAATGAATGAGGAAAGTGTGAATAAGCAAAGGAGACGGTCCCAATTTGTATGAAGCGTAGGCCTGGTTTTGTACAAGTAGGGAAATAAATTAAATAACCACCTTACACCACTTTTGGTTATTCAAATCCACGAATTTGACCTTATTTCAGTGGTATTAATATTTTATTCTTCCCAAAGAATGCAAGACCAATGGCTAATTGATGTTGTTTTGACGTTAGCTGTCAACTGTCATGAAGTTATTGATCATGAAGGTTAGAGAACAGGAGAACGATAGCCGTAGAAAATAGTGTCCCAAAAATATGGACACCATCAGTGAGGCGCTGCAATCACTAAGTGCAGTCAATAAAAGTCATTTTCAGTCTATTTTTCCGATCAGAAGCTCAACTACTTGCACATCCACGCACAATAAAATATTTCTCTATTTTTTAATGTACCTACTTGTACTCATAAACAGCTAACTTCGCAGTCACTACTCACCGACGTCAGCGCCGCTATGTAATCTATGATTTTCAAAGACAGGCGGGCTATGCTTTAGTAGGTACGTAGTGATCGTTCCCCTGTTCTCTAACCTTCATGTTATTGATTCCCAGTGATTCAAAATGCGATTCTACAGATGTTCGATATCAATGAAATCAAAATCTCACGATAATAATGAAGTCCATAAAACAAAAGCCGCGTCAAACAAGTAATTACAGATCCAAATCCAAATAAAAATAAAACAAATCGCCAAAGAAACACAGTAAACGCATTCACGAGTTCACAACTGCACGAACAAGCTCAGAATAAAAAAATATCGTACTACCTACATGATTTCATGTCACTTTTCAGACAACATTTTACATATAATTTATGACTAGAATCCCGCCATCATGGAGTATAGAGGTAAGGAGGACAATCTCCCATAGGAGAATAGTTGAAAAAGTGTCCATCTGTAAGCAGTAAATAACAGTTCAAAAACTCTCCACAAGAGCGCTCGAGTAGCTACAGGGTATGATAAATCGCCGTAAAATACGTTGAGAGTGGTTTTGAAAATAAACATTTTGAAAGCAATAAAATAATTATTGTAAAAAGAATTATGGTAAGTCTGTGCAATTAAATAATTATAAAAGTTCTTTAAAATTTAGACTGTAGCTACAGTGGCACCACCCTTATTTAGTGCTTTCTTACGCACACTTTTTTATACAGAGTCTGTACTCTTTACCCCATTACTGCTGCACTCCATACCTGCCATCTTGTGAAATCATCAAAAATTGGGATTGCATTTTTATTTTTAGCAAGTCAAATAGTTTGATTTATTCTCTTATTTTATTTTTAATGATATCCCTGAATTTTTCGCTTTTTTGCGGTATATTGTATATAGACTGGGCCTGAAATGGATCGTCTCCTTTATACTGAAGATGTGAACGGTAGAGTTGGGAAGGAACGATCTAGACGAAAGTTTATCGATCAAATTGCCGATATATTGAAAATGGGCCAGATTAGAAACAAATGACAAACTAGAATACGATGCCAGCTCCAGGCAGCGATGGCGTGACAACCAAGAGGTACGATATCGCTTGTTAATTAAACTGTTTTATATGTCGATAACCCGCACTTATTTCATTTATTTGCTTTCTATGTTACATAAATAACTAAGCCTTTTATTAGATACATCCATAACAGCTTTACAATTTGTTTTCAAATTAATTTTCATGCTTACAACTATAACAACTATTTTATCGATAATATTCAGGCAAATCTAGATGTCACTAGCAAACTTAAATATTGAAAATAACACCAACAGTAAATCATCGGTTCATGCCGCCTAGTGCTCCATTAGATATTGACAAAAAATACAGTCGTTAAGTAATACAAGTAGCGTGGGATACGATGGCATTGCTACAAAAATATTAAAACACATATCAATGGAAATATGCGTACATCTAAGTCATCTAATCAACCTAAGTATTAGTGCAGCTACGTAGGTCACTCAATAAGTTTTGAAATGCTCGAAATTTAAAAATGGAACGCCAGCCGTGTTTTATGTTTCTAAAAAGAAAATTTATTTAAAAATAGAACTCTTAATTAAGATTAAACAAAATACAAAGTTCTATTAATTTTCATGCATCGCTTCCCGCGCTTTTCATTTAAAACGATGGATCTTAACCGTGAATATTTGCGTGCTATGATCTACTATGATTTAAAATTTGGTTTACCCAAACAATTAAGTTTATAACGGCTACAATCAGCATTAAGGGACTCGGCTCCATCACGCGCAACAATGCATAGGTGGTTTGCTAAATTCAACAGGGGTAAAGTTAACCTTAAAGATGACAAAAGAATCGGGGCCCCGCAAACAGCAGTAACGGTGGAAAATGTATGGACTACTGAAATGTTGGTGCGAGAAGACCCATGAATCACATCAGGAGAATTCATACCATTCTACATAAACATCTTGGAGTGAAGAAGCTTTGTTGTCGATGGAGCCCTCGTTTGCTCTACGAAAGCCACAAACAGACTCATGTGGATTGGTGCCATGAAATGAGTCTACGTTTTGAAAACGGGGCATCTAGGCGTGTTTCAAAAATCGTTAATGGTGACGAGACGTGGATCTATCTATCAATATGATCCGGAAAATAAAAGGCAATCATCGGTATGGGTTTACTCAGAAGGATAGTTACCAACAAAACTGCAAAGACCTCGTAACGTCGGAAAAAAATGGTGGCTAGTTTTTATTCGCGGAGCGGATATTTGTCGACTTCAATGCTGGAAAATTGTAGGTCAGTCAACTCTAAATGGTATACTACAGTTACATTACCCAAAAGCGTTTCAAGCTGTGCGGGAAAGAAGACCAATGACCGGGCTTCAAGGAATCATGCTGCATCACGATAACGCCTCTTCACATACCTCCCTTAGAACAAAAGCATTTATTGGGGAATCTGGTGTTGAAACTCTAAGTCATCTACCCTACAGCCCTGACATAGTTCCTTGTGATTTCTTTTTGTTCCCAAGAGTCAAAGAAAAAATAAAATTCAAGTTTTTTCAAGCGCCGAAGAAGCCGTGGCTGCCTACGAAGAAGTGATTTCCGACCTGTCAGATCAAGACTGGCAAAAGTGTTTTCAGAGTTAGTTTAGGCGAATGGAACTTTGTATAACATGATGGAGAATATATTGAAAAGATGTAAAATATATATTAATAGTGTCAGTTAACTGTTTAACCACTATTCGCGAATTTCATCTCGGTTTTGAAGTTGCTGAGATTCAGCCACTACACTGTTCAGAACGCTATCGCAACTTCCCGTAGGAACCACCCCAAATAAAGTCTTCCTTCTCTTTGTCCGGCTGGAACTTTATTATGAGCACATTCTATACAAGCCTTGCAATATTTTTAGTGAGATTTCTCATATTTTTGAACCAGGAGATCCTTTTGATACGTTCGTATGTCTTTTAAACCCAAAATTACAGTTATTGTCATGATTTATTTTTAGTATTTGCCGTCTTACAGACTTAGGAACCACCCAGAGTAACGTTACGGTATCGTTCTTTTTGACGATTCTATAAAGCTTGCCATTTATACTCCAATTTCAACAACATGCTCGCTTCAAAAGATGCATAATATTTTGTGTTAAGATTTGCATACAACATAACTTATCCTAATAGATATGTACAACACTTGCAAGTCTCTTCAACAGGATTTTACCCACTAAAATGAGTTATCGAACCTTAAGTGTTAATAACAATAAAATAAATCGAAAAATTACAAATACAGTGTAAAATATTTACAACATTTGAATATAGTACGTTATGTTTTAATTCCTTAGGTCTTCGTTCAAATTTGCTATTTATTATAAATAGGTGTTTTCCTGTGAATTGCAGTATGACAAAGCACATTGTTACGAGCTTGAGGTTCGGGACAATAAAAACTGCCGATTGAATTACCAAAATTAACACTTTAATTTTCTTTACACCAAATAAAACTTAAAACACTAATAATTAATCACACTGATTCACTTTATTTCGTTCCGAAGCTTACGGGCCGTCCCATTTAGCTTGAAGCTTAGCAGATTTCCCTTTGCTGCAGACTGGATTGTGCAACCACATTAGTGAACCTTTGTCGAACCCTTTGTTGTTCATTTTGCGGTCATACCGGGTTTTCATCTTCTCAGACATTTGCTGGCCCGATTGTCTGACATGCTCATAAATGTCATTCATTTTGTTCCGCACGTCATTTGCATAATCGGTTATACTGCGTGGGGCATCAGGTGCTATTCCGGTGATCAGGTATGCAGGCAGCCGTAATTCTCTTCCAAAGTTTGCGAAAGCTGGTGTCACTGCTGTACTTTCGTGAACAGCGCTTCGATATGACAACAAAAACGGTTGTATGTGCTTGTCCCAATCTCGTTGCAGATTGTCTACAACTTTTGCTAGGTACCTCTCCAATGTCTGATTAAATCGTTCTACCATTCCATCAGATTGCGGGTGACAAGAAGTCGTTCTTGTTTTAGGAGTACCCATAACTCGGCAAGTTTCCTGGAATATTTGAGACTCAAAATTTCTTCCTTGATCGCTGTAAATCTCTAAAGATACTACAAAACGACAGAAGACTTCATGAACTAGTATATATGCAACTGTTGAAGCTTCTTGATTTGGAAT